ACTATACAATCTTTGACAACGTCAAAAATTGTGTATTTATACGTTTCATATGTATACATGCTTATATTCGCTTTGACATTTTAGGCATTTCCGGGCAGGAAACTATAAATTATAACAGTTATAACATGCACTCGCGGGCTGTAACGCAGCCATGCTATGTCAATGACAAATACATGCATAAGCCAGCAGGGTTCTTGTTTTAATCTTGTGCGCACTTTATATAACTGAATGTAGCAATTCATTGCATTATTACCTTTTACTGCTTCAAATTCGGCCGTAAACTACAGTGACAAATAGAAAACAGCAGGCATCTCAGTCTAAAGTAAAACACTAGGAAGATCATGTGCGTAATCTTTGCAGACTTTTCAAACGAATTTAACTCCCAATTACAAAATGAAAATTTCAATATACGGTACAACTGATATGTTTCAAACTCCTCGAAAATATAATATATAAAAATGTTTGAGCACGGAACTGAACATAATACATGCATGCATAGACTGTAATAAGAGCCTGCGGAGTGCGGTGCGGTGCCTACAGCGCTCAATTATGCGACGACTTAAAACTATAAACAGAACAAAACGACAGTGGCGTAAGTTTGGACCAGGCCGCCCCTGGTACTACCGGGATTGGGTGCCCCCAAGGCGGGGGATCATAGATATTTTGAAGATGGAGCTCTGACAACATGAACATTTTTCTAGTCGTTTAGAAGCCAATTTTAATGGATTTTTTAAACTGGAAATATAAATAAATATATGGCAAAATAAAAGAAAACAGCTATAAAATAGCACTATGCGGAAATTGTTTTTGACATAAAGAGTGAAGTGTGTGCCACTGTAATTATGCACATACATCCTCAATTAAATGTAACATTACAGTACATCTTAAATTTCTCGCACCTGGTCTTTTTTTCAGCAAACTCATCGATCATTTTGTCAACGGAAAGCTTTCTTGCTTCGTCTGCCTCTATTGAGATCATGGCAAGCGCCATGATCTCGCCAGGCAAATGAAATGGCAAGCGCCATTTTTATTATAAAAAAATAATTATAATAACAACTAAAAAACTGAAAAATTAAACATGTGCGTCTCATTGAATACTTGCGTGTTAATGTTTATGGAAGTAATATTCACTAAAGCATAAGCAAGAGTATATAATATTTACAAGACCAAGTGTAATTGTGGAATCTGTTGAATTACGCGCTGCTTAAGTACCGGCGTATAAATTCAAACGACCAACATTCTTAAGACATAGCCTACACTCCCACTCCCTACAGCCAGAATATATAATATTTCCAAGACCAAGTGGAATCTGTTGAATTACGCGCTGCTTTAGTACGCGTATAAATACAAATGACAAAGCATTCTTAAGACGTACAGGTAAATTATATAACACAAGTTTTTGCTATTGGATTTTATATTAAGTCTAATTATACTCCTAGGCGCATTTACCACATTATATACACAGTAATTAAATTAAACTAAGGAACCAAAACTTTATAATAATATAGAACTAACAGTGTTCAGTGGCTGAAGTCCATTGAGTGAATTACAAGGCACAAAGTGCAGTCACGTTATTTTATGCACTAAATTATGGCGTTTGCAGGGCCTAAAACTTTAATAAACCTTACGCTGAGTGCCTGAGTCAAAATAATTTACAAGTCGAAGCAAGCAAAACGATATCTTTCAAATACGCCTCAAATACTGTATGTCGCACGTCGCTTATATTTTATGTTCTGTGCATAGCAAGGGCGCACGACGACAATGCAATGCGCTAAATAAAATTTATTTATTTACTTTGCCATAATACTTATACATTCACTGACTGGGAAACCACAACAGCTATGCCAATTACAGTGGCCCCACATTACTTCAAAACCACCTTTCTGCATATATTAGAATGCTGCTTCGCTCGCTCGCTTCAACTTCTGGAGTCACGTTATATACCAACTGTGATACAGAAAATCTGAATACGGCAAAAATTCTTAATAGCTTTACGAAACGGAAATTATATAAACAAGGCCGCCGGACAACTCAGTTCAGGGTGCCCCCCTGGAAGCCAGATTGCCTGGGTGCCCCCGGCTCTTACCGGTTAGAGCTCATAGGAGTTACGCCACTGCAAAACGACGAATATATTTTACTATCGCAAGCGAGTATAATTACATCATTTTCTAATTTACTTTAAAGGTTAAGAACTGTCAGAAAAGACAGCAATACAATAGCCTATATTATACCCGTTTTCAAACCGTCATAACTGCCCATTTTGTAATTTACGTCGTCAAGGACAATTACAGGGCTCTATAGATGCGTAAAGGCTTCTATGCTCAATTGTACAAAGCATCTATAGGCCACGTATAGACGTTTTTCGTATATACATTTAGTAACGTTGTCCGCAAGGACAATGTGCCATTGACATTGACTAATTGATTGTACATGTTTAGCCGCCAGTGCTAATAGCGACTATTTTGAGTTAGTAACCAGAGCCACGAAGATTCACATCGAGTTATGATTCGAGTCACCGGAGGACTCGTTACAGAATAGATCGTTTTACTGGGATTGCTCCCAAATATAGCCATGCATTTTCGATTCAGTTTTGGTGACTGGTGTTTTACAATTATATAATCATTTATGAAATCGATATATTAAATTTCCTTAAAACATCCTGAAACCATTGGCAAATACATTTATATTTTTTATATAATTTTAATTTTCAAACCACTGTATGCATGCATGCATCGTGGACATTGTGAACTTAATAAATAATAATGGTCAATAATATAACACTTGTGAAAAATCGGTCTCCCATACCCAGCTTGTTCGCAGGTGCGAGGTATTCTCCCACCTAAAAAAGTTCCATAGAATTCCACTCCTCATACAATGTCAAATTTACAAATAACGCTAAGATTATCAGATTAACATCATACAAAAATAATAATAATGAACTCTTTATATATAAAATCTAGTAACCTACTGACATAATAATCTAGTAACCTACTGAGCTTCTCTTGAGTGTCAGCGCTGTTTTTCAATAGCTGCCGGGAATGTGAGTATAGTCACATAGTAACGGTACGACACTAACCCTCCAGCTATTCAAAAACAGCAATGACACTCGAGAGAAGCTCAGAATGAACTTCCACTCATTGAGTGTGAGTGAGCTTTTAGAATACGGGCGTAAGACTACTTTCAAAACCACGGCAACGGTAGATAAAACGGTTACCAAAATTCGCCAAAATTATGCAGTAGGCTATTTCATGCTCTTTCCAATGATGTACCGCAAATTGGGGCACAATCACCAATTTCAAAACGGCAAGGATTAATAAGGTGGTAATTGCTTTTGTTTATAGAATTACATTGTGCGAACATCTATATTCCGCAAGATCTGTATTTTTAATTGTTGTGAAACTCAACATATTGTGCAGTATTTCATGCTCTTTCTAATGAAGTGAAGCAAATTGGGGTACCATCTCACCAACGTCCATTATATTTGACATTAATGTAGCACAATCGTTTAAAACTGGCTGTGTTAAATGTCACTCGATCGTGTCGTCCTTTGTCGAGAATGGGGCAATAAGCCCTGTAGGGATCACCAATCATTAATGACAAAGCTAGTAAATAAATAAAATATACATAAAACGGCAAGGATTAATAAGGTGCTTATTGCTTTAATTTGTTTATAGAATTACACTCATTTCTTTTGTTTATATATTAAATGTTAGACAATAGTATTACACTGTGCTAACATCTATATTCAGCAAGCGTTTATACAAAATCGGCCTCCCTAATTGTTTCGAAACTCAGCTATATGGTGCAGGAGTTTGCATTGCTCATGTTACTGCTAATTTAAAGTAAAAAATACCTTAAAAGTAGCCAGAAAAGGGGTTCAAATAATCTACTTTTGAATAATTGAATACAGTTGAATGTGAGGTCCAATCTAAGGCCGAATCTGGGGCCAATCCGCGGCTACCTTCACAGTGCCAAAACGATTGTTATCGGTAAGCGAAGGCATGGCTGTAAATCTACTTACGAAGTTTTGGACATTCAACCAGGGCGCTATAAACCAATATAGCATAGTTAATGACCCGAACACAAAAACGGAAGCCGTCTCAAATTTCAACTCTTTGATTTATGAGATAAATGTCTCCCTTGGATGCCTCAAAATTTCTCCCATACACTAGTCGTCTATTTCCCTTACATACAATAGAGTTCAAACATGACGCCCCTATACAGTAAATCTATCCAACCGAATTGGTGTTATTACAGTAAGAAACTGTTGCTTGTAGAAATAAAAGCCTACAATGAAGACTTTTCTGTCAACGCCGCGCGATATGTCACAGCAAAATTCAATTTTTATTACCTCGAACATCTCTGTCAAATGTGATATTTTGCCCAATACTTTGAATTACGTTTCCCACATGAGAACCGCATTGTGAGATATCATATATATTCATATTATATTTTTATTTGTTAGTTGTTACCTCGAACTGTATGACTGTCAAATGCGTTTAAATATATTTTGCCAAATACTTTGAATTACCTTTCCCACATGAGAACCGCATTGTGAGATATCATATATTCATATTATATTTTTATTCATTACCTCCAACATGTCTGCCAAATGCGTTTTAATATATTTTGCCAAATACTTTAAATTGCGTTTCCCACATGAGAACCGCAACGTGATCGAAATATCATATATTCATATTATATTTTTATTTATTACGTCCAACATGTCTGTCAAATGTGTTTAAATATATATTTTGCCAAATACTTTGAATTACGTCCCACACGAGAACCGCAATGTTAGATATAACATATTTTTATACACATACCATAGTTGGCTAAAGTGTATGTAAGTATAAAATATAGCAATGTAATATCTAATATAAGCATCCTACAGCGAATGACACCCCGCGACCATCATACACCATCTGTACCATCTTCACCATCTGACAGCTCTTCCCTGTATAACCACCATACACCATCATACACCATCTGACAACCATCTGACACACTTCGACCATCATACACCATCATACACCATCTGACAACCATCTGACACACTTCGACCATCATACACCATCATACACCATCTGACAACCATCTGACACACTTCGACCATCATACACCATCATACACCATCTGACAACCATCTGACACACTTCGACCATCATACACCATCATACACCATCTGACAACCATCTGACACACTTCGACCATCATACACCATCTTCACCATCTGACAGCTCTTCCCTGTATAACCACCATACACCATCATACACCATCTGACAACCATCTGACACACTTCGACCATCATACACCATCTGTACCATCTTCACCATCTGACAACCCTTCGCTGTATAACCACCCTACATCATCATGCACCATCTGACAACCATCTGACACACTCCGACCATCATACACCATCATACACTATCTGACAACCATCTGACACACTTCGACCATCATACACCATCTGTACCATCTTCACCATCTGACAACCCTTCCCTGTATAACCACCCTACACCATCATACACCATCTGACAACCATCTGACACACTTCGACCATCATACTGACCATCATACGCCATCTGACAACCATCTGACACACTTCGACCATCATACACCATCTGTACCATCTTCACCATCTGACAACCCTTCCTTGTATAACCACCCTACGCCATCATACACCATCTGACAACCATCTGACACACTTCGACCATCATACACCATCATACACCATCTGACAACCATCTGACACATTTCGACCATCATACACCATCATACACCATCTGACAACCATCTGACACACTTCGACCATCATACACCATCTGTATCATCTTCACCATCTGACAACCCTTCCCTGTATAACCACCCTACACCATCATACACCATCTGAAAACCATCTGACACACTTCGACCATCATACACCATCATACACCATCTGACAACCATCTGACATACTTCGACCATCATACACCATCTGTACCATCTTCACCATCTGACAACCCTTCCCTGTATAACCACCCTACACCATCATACACCATCCGACAACCATCTGACACACTTCGACCATCATACACCATCTGACAACCATCTGACACACTTCAACCATCATGCACCACTGTACACCATCTTCACCATCAGACATCAGATGCCTGTATTGAACATTACTCTTAAAATTATAAGGAATATGCTTTTCTAAGCGCGCGGGTTTTGCCATTTCCTGTGGATTTCCTGTTGGCTATAAATATCTAAAAGTCAAACCATAGACATGTTTTCGCTCGTTAAGAAATGCGATTTAAGCAAATGAATGAAAAGTCCAGACGAATTGCATTCACGAGCCAACGTTTCGACACTTTCTCTAGTTTGTGATCTGATCAGCGTCGCAACGCAGTTCTTTAGTAATGCAGAGTGACGTCATGAGTCAACAAGATGTAGATAGGGACACTCGGTGATTCTATATCTACATTTTATTGAGTCAATACCAACACCGAAATAGTGACATATTACACTAAGTAGGTGTTACACAGAAATTAACCCCATTCAAGTGTAACATTACACTTCCACAGTAACAGCCCACACTGTAGTGTATTTATATGAGTATTTTTCAAAAGAGGAAAGTTGCCCAAAAAATAGTCAAAAATACCCTGCCCTCGACCTACAATGTAGTGGCAGACCAAAGTCAGCGGTAAGAAGCAACGCGCGCTGACCACATTTGTGATCTGTGCTCCCTTAGAGAAGGGTAGAAAGGGCATTTTGTTCTACTCGCATGCATGTCTTCTACAGCCTTGACTACCATCGAGTTGCTTCTTGTTATATGATCAGCTTTACAGAGTTACTGAGTTATTGGCTCGTCATTGCATCACTGTTTATGGGATTGATCCTTGGGTATATCCATAGACAATCCAAAAGACATTCTACATCTACATATTATTGCGTCGATAGAATCCTTGTATATCACACCATCTATTTGAAACTAAAAATATCTATAACTGTGTAGAATATACAAAAACGTTATACTATATAAGAATACATGAATAAATATAATAGATAAAGTGTAGATAGATAAAAAGTGCAGATTGATTCATGCTTAAATGCCACGCATCTTGGCAACGCCACTGGCCATAGCGACGATATTACTCAAAAATCAGCGTAATGAGAGAGAAAGTGTCCGATATTGAACCCCGTCGTCGTCGATTAATTAACTTCGTTTACAACGAAACTTCGTTTACAATCTGTTCACTGTAAACTGTTTATTTATGTAAAAGCCAATTTCCGAATTACCCTCCAGTTGTCGAAAACAATAATACCAAATTGAGGCTTCGTGTTAATTTGCTATACGGAAACATTACAATATTGCACAATGTCAGGCTACTACTGAAAGCATTAGAATATGCATATCAAAATATTGGACTGTGCAAACATCATTTGTGTTTCACTTATAGCCACAATAGAATTGCGAATTAAATCATATTTTTGTACCAGTATTTTTTTTCTACTTCATGTGTAAAGCGAAATAAAGCTAGAAAGATATAGCTATAAGGGAGTATATTTTTATATAATTGTTGAATTGTTCATTGAGAACTTTGCATATTCAAATGAAGATTGAACAGTTAAATACTTTGATATGCTTATTCTAACTCTTCAAGTCTCAGCTACATGTTCCAGTTCAACTTTCCAGCGCAGAACGCGTCATTTGGATGCGCAGTCGAGACCTCGAATTGGTCTGTTAGTTTTGATCCATCGGCTGCTTCATGACCAGGCCTGAAATTGCCAGCTACGTCTGTTTGCTTCAATGCTTTGTCTTGGATAATTGTGGTCTTTAAATAAACTTTTACCTGCCCATCTACCTACCACTATTTTACCATTTTCAACAATAAAATTCCGGATACAGAAAGCAGACGTGTTGTAATTAACGAGTCGAGTCAAGCAATAGAGACCTTATGATTTTAGGACGGCAACGCGACGGCAACGGCTACCAATACAATAGATCATTGAAAAGAATTGAGTAATTACAACAAATGAATAATTTAGACCCTTGGAAAGCATCATCCCCGTACGCCTATGTCGACTTGAGTCGCAATATTCTGCGACTCGACTCGAGTCAAATACGAAATATGACGCGACTCAAGTCAACAGCCTCAAATGACTCGACTCGGACTCGACTTGTTTATTTCTGCCGCAAATGACTCGAGTCAACTCAGCTACAACTTATTCAGGGACTTTAGTCGAATACGAAAAATGACTCGAGTCAACAATCCAAAATGACTCGACTCGGGCTCGGTTTGTTGATTTCTAGTCTGCCGTAAAATAAAATAACTCGAGTCAACTCAGCTACAACTTGTTCACATCAAAAATATTGTAGTTGAATAGGTTGGGAAGAGTCCTGAAAGCAGGTGAAGAAATAAAAAGTAATTCTGGATGCAGGTAGGCATGTTTCCACTTGTAGGGAAATTTTAAAGGCATTTTTGTTTACTTTTTTGTTCACCATACAATTCGTGTAGCCGTTGACTCATCACTTGAGTGAAGCATTGACTTGACTCAATCAGATGGTGAAATGCCTTGACTCGACTCGTGACTCGACCCGTGACTCGACCAACATGTTGGTGACTCGTTACAACACTGACCGAAAGTAAAATGGCTCTAATACCATTACACCTACACGAGCAAAATATCTTTGACATTTGAAATTTGTCAAATAAGATTTGCTCGTGTAAACGGGGCTTTATATACACCCTGGGTTCCAGATGCTTCAGAGATTTTCCTGGCTAGCGTTTTTGTGTAGTAAGTTGAAACGATCTTTCCTTTTTCTCTTCTGAAAAAAAAAACAACCTATGAAAACCTCTGACTTCCAGGTTAATTTCCGATAGAAATATTTCCAAACTGTCTTGGAATCATATGGATATGTATAAAAATACAACAACAAAAAGCCATCACAGTTCTTATTTATAGAATATAGACTTAGATAACTACAGATTTACATGCACTATTGTACTTACGACGAATGTTGCTGCCAAATGATATGTGTTCTGCAATGTTTTATTTTATGTTACGTCTCTGAAGTTACGTATTACTGCCATTAAAAGCCATGTTATAATAGGAGGCAATTTTTGCTGCAACGTGCAACGCAGTGCATCTTTTCAGAAAGTACTCAGCCTTGGCTATAGAGACTTGTTTTCATCATTTGAGATACTGGGTTTGGTGTCCTTTATCTTGTTACATATCGACACATTCACGAAGTCATACAGTTCTATTTTTGCTTATTTATCACGTTTTTAAATAGCAAACTTTCCAGGTGGGGATTCTCAAGTTGAGGATCACGTCTTTCATCAACTTCGACAGTAACAAAATGTTCTGTTTGTGCAGAGTAGAAATAATCGAATGTAACTGTGATGGGCAAGTTCAAATTTTGAAGCTCATTTCTTTCCTGATTGATCATCGTGTAAACATGGAGATTAGTTATCACCAGCGTGTCATTCACAAGCCAACATGTTCCTCGAATTCTTCCACACGAAATTTGACCAATAGATCTTATGTAAGAGGCCAAATGTTCATAAAGTATCGCAGGCTTTTTAGTTGAAAAATTTTTGAATACCTCATCTCTTGCAAAGTTGAAAATTTGTGTATCGGTATCTACAAATTTTCCATCATTTCTTCCATATTTATTTTTATTCTGTGGATTCAACAGGTTTTCGTACGCTGACGATTTAACATTTGCTGTCATCGATTTGCGAACTTTCTCGGTTAAAGGTTGCTTACTCGATGTATAATGAGTATATACATACTTAGCGGAAAATGTTTTGATATATTCTTCAAGACGAACCAAGTTATCGTTTGCTAAACTTTCAGTTCTGCCTGGGTTGCATGCTTCTACAATCACCGAGTTTACCCATTTTACTAGAAAGATTAAAATTTGAACTTCATTCAAAGTCCAAATGTCCAAATCCAGAGTTTGACATATAGAGATTGGTTGCAGTTAATCTAAGTATATTCATACCGTCACAAATATGCCAAAACAAACACTCGAAGACTCTTGTTAGTGACTCAAAGAGTGGCCTACGCCAGTGGGATTTTAAAAACAATTAAAAGACAATACTAAAACATTCTGGTCGCCTGGGACATATAGCTACGCTTCAGGAATTTATACGCTGAGCACGTTGACATTAGAATGGAGAATCGCCAGCTTACAAAATTGTGTAAGCGTTCATGGGCAAGATTTGGACACAAATTGACGATATGATGCGGTTCTGACACTACTGGGAACGGAAAAGTTAATACATCGTTGTCTATTAACCCGACTTCGCTTGCAAGAACTGGATTTTTAAGCAAAGTTTCCATATATATTTCTACTACAGTATTGGATATGGCAATTTGGCATTTAGACATGGTTTTATTGGCTGTGTTTTGGTTGAAAGTATGTTTATGACCATCTCGAAATGTGTCTCGAAAATACGTCCTTCTGTTGAAAATATGCAGGCGGTCAGGTAAGAACGTGCAATTTGATATCTATTGTAAGTTCAAATAAATGTTGATGTTATATGCATGGTAGTGTCACAATAATTTGCGACCGTGCATTTTTCAGTATATAACCTGGCGTCGAATTTCCGAGTCAGTTTCATTAAGCTAACTCAAGCCAATTGTTTTATTCCAGAGAAATGGACGTTTTTAAGCAGCACATTATAATTATGTGCAATTTTGTCAAAGTATTCGACGGGTTTCTTCGCATAAATTGCCAAAAAAATCCGTCGAAGTTAAAGTTAAACCCAACGAATTAAATTCAATGGAAATTCAACGCCTAAAACAGCCATGGCCTTAGCTGCTTTGGAAAACAATGCTTTCAGTAGTAAAACTGGATCAATAAGGGACTTACTGGACCTCTTGGGAGAACAGTTCAAAATTCATTGAATAATCTAATATCAAAAAGGTTAGTTTAGGTTTCCTCCTGTAGTAACTCTGGACTGACTCAATATATCTGGCCCTAACTGCACATTTAGCGAGAACAGTTCAGACAACGACAATTTATTTAACAAGTAAATAACGTGCTGAATTGTGATTGGAAGTTTGTGTGACGTATATTTCCGTGCTTTTTTCCTCCAGTAGATCATGGCTCTCGACCAATGGAAGGATATGATGGGACAAGACTGCCAAGAAAGGTATGTCTTTACGCACACGTACAGGTTGTCCACAATAAATTTTCCCAGGATTCTAGAATTGTTTATCGCTACTTGTAATGCAGTACCCTGGTTGCCTGAGGTTCTGTATCTTTCGCCTTGTTCCGCTCGTATTACGAGCGGGAATAAAGCGAAAGATACAGAACCTCTGGCAACCAGGGTTAATAATGCAGCGAATAAAGCGATGAATAAATAAAAGTCTACTTCGGCACATGACCATATACAAGAAACTGTCAAAATAATTCTAGTTCAAAGTGACGCAACGAAATTTCACACTATTTTTTATGATTGGAAGGTAACGAAAAATCAAACCGATACTTTGCCAAACTCTCCTACAGCTTGCTTCGTCCTTGAGATATTTGACAATTTTTTATATTCAAATTATCCTCACTATGACGTCATATAGTCGTACGGGAAGGAAGGCAGCTGCCCCTGCCGCTTCGTACACTTATGATCATGACTTTCTGAAAAAAAATTCAAGCAAGATCTTGGGATGTCGTGCATCGAAATAAAACCGTGCGCACAGATTATATATGTCCAGGACCTCCGGGAGAATTCGCGGGACCCCGGGCAAATCTTCTCTGTGGGGCCCATGAAATCATTATTCAAGCTAGACCCAAGTCAGTCATCCAACTAAACCTTAGCTAGACTGCATGTAGAGCCACTGAAGAGGCACTTGATTTCAAAAATGCTCCGACCAATTTAAAGAACCTACTTAATTTTAGGCTCTTGCTTTCAAGTTGGGGATTAAGGTGAGGGTCCGGGGCAATTTGCTCCCCCCCCCCTCCTCTCTCGGCGGCCCTGTGTATGTCAACATGCCACATATATGTTGTAAGTCGTCAAATTTAAAGAGTTCTAAACGTTTTTTAACAAAGCATTATGCAAGTATATGTGATTTATATTGTCAACAATGAAGCAGAGGCAAATTTTGTCTCTTCATAAAGCAGAAAGAGTGGATTAATTTATAAAGTCAGCATCAGTTTTAATGTGATTTAAGTAAAATGTTATTATTGCGTGCAAAATTGCATATAACGAAGTAATCATAATGGCTAATGAGGTTACATAAATATTAAATATTGAAGATAACATTAACAATATAAACATTATCCTAACTGAAGTTAGTGAAATAATGTCAGTTATAACAGATGAATTAAGGTAAATATCATGAAGCCAGAATAGTCCATGGGATTCGCAACAAATAAGTCGTTTTGAGTCTCTCAAAAAGGGACCAAAAATCGTTGCAATTTTAATAACATTTATTGTATGGAGAGTTCGAAAAAAGCAGGTAACAAGTTCGGATACCCGGCTATCATGTCGTATCATGACATTTTAAATGCAATGTATTGGTAAGTGACAAGATTAATACATTATAAGGTTTGAAAACAGAACTAGTTAAATATTTATTATCCTTTATTTTTCCAAGCCCGTGTCTCATTGCTTTGACATGAACCTTTTAAAAATATCTCTCGGGAAACTATGTATCGAAATACCAATGGTTAACCGTAACGTCTTTGGGGTGATTTCACCTTGTTAAAACTGTGTAAAGTACTTGTCTGCTTTCACTAACGTTCAAAACGATGTTTAAAAATGAATTGAATATAGCCACACTTATTTGCTTTTTACTTTTTTACACTATTTTACAAAATATGGCAAAAACTAGTCTTTTTATAGGCTATTTTTATACTCCTACAAACACGGGAGCCTAGGTCTTAATAGCTACCAGGCCCCGATAACACGGTTTTCAAAATGGCTGCCAAAACAGGTAGGTTAATTTACATATTTTAATGTTTCTTTCGCAGTTAATATAACTCGTGTGGGGACAAAATATAACCTGGTCAGCGGCTTGGTCAGACAGAACTAATTTATGATAAGCTTAAATAGTAACAAAGAAGTAAAAAGTAAACAAAGTGTGTTGATAAAATAAAGATATTTTATACTATATACGGTGTGAATTCTACATTGGTGACCCCGTATTTACTTCATCATTATGACGACTCTG